CCCACTCCGCCTGCTCCAGCAGCTCGATGACGAGAACATCCCCCATCAAGCACAACATTTTCGATTCATCCGCTGCCCACCCGAGCTCGTCGAGGAGCTCATGCACAAGCCCAACACCTACGTCGCTCAGCGCATCGCCAGGGTCTGCCCGAGAAGGCTCTTCTTCGTCGCCAGGCTGCCCCCAACCCTCGCCGTCTGCAGACTTTCTCTGACCGCATGAACGCTCTGAACTATGACGTTGATGTGTCCAGCAGCGGTGCCCTGCAGAACAGCCTGTTCAAGGTCGATGACCAAGACATTCGCAAGGGTATGGAGACACTTGTCTCCAAGTCGATGCAGCGTGCCAAGTACTTCATCGCTGGCAAGACGAACAAGCAGCTGTGGCCGCACTACGCTCTTAACACGCCCCTTTACACTCACTTCACTTGCCCCACTCGTCGCTACGCCGATATCATTGTTCACCGCCAGCTTGAGGCTGTCCTGTCTGAGGGCAAGATTGAGTACACTGAAGATCTTGAGAACCTTGTCAAGACCATTGAGTCATGCAACACCAAGAAGGACTCGGCGCAGAACGCTCAGGAGCAGAGCATTCACATTGAGTCTTGCCGCGATATGGACAAGAAGCGTCAGGAGGTCAACGGCGATCTCATTACTGAGGGTATCGTTATTTGCGTTTATGAGTCGGCCTTCGACGTGCTCATTCCTGAGTGGGGCTTTGAGAAGCGTGTGCATTGCGACCAGCTGCCTCTCAAGAAGGCCGAGTTCCGAAAGGAGAAGCGCGTTTTGGAGCTGTACTGGGAGAAGGGTGTGCCCAGCTCGGCGTACGTGCCCGAGGATGAGCGTCCCAAGGCAGCGGCTTCACAGCGCGTTACGAACGCACGCGCCGCGGCTCGTCAGGCCGAGGAAGCGGACCGCGCCCGCAAGGAGCGCGAGGAGGCGGCGCGCAAGCAGACGGAGACTGGCACCATCTCTACGGATGATGTCGATGCCCTTTTCGATGATGACGAGGACAATGCGTCGGATATTACTGAGGCCATGGCCGGTGCGTCTCTCGCGGAACGGCCCACACAGAGCGTCCCAGGCTCGCCGACTCGCACGTCGTCCAACGCCAAGGGCCTGCAGAGGACCCGATCGGACTCGAAGGTGCCCGTCTCGGAGGCGCCGGAGACGCGCCTGTCGAACAAGGAGAAGTACCTCAGCCTGTTCAAGCTGCGTGAGGAAGGCGGCGAGTACATTCAGGACGTGACCGAGATGACGCGCGTGCCGGTGATTCTCAAGACGGATCTTACCAAGAGCCCTCCGTAAGTTGATTCCCTATTCCTCCTGATGACGACGGAAACCATTTCTAACCTAGAAACAGTTGCTTGACCATCCGTTCCCTCAACCCTTACGCCCTGAAAAGGATCGGCCAGCCGGCACGAG